GATAGAGCGGCAGCCAATCAAGGTGAAACAGGTGAAACAGGTGAGGAAACTCAATTTGCCACACCATTATATTTCATCTCAAGTTTTAGCTGAGTGGCCAACAATTTGGAAAGTTTCCAGGAACTGCTTTAAAATGTTAACAAGTGATAAAAGGTAATTACAAGCATGGTGTGTTTGAGGTCCAAAAACACTTGTAAGCTTTTGCTAATTAGGAGATTTTAAAGGATCAGAAAAACAGTATATTTCAGATTTTTTTAAAGTGAGGTTCTATGGAAAGGTTATGAATGATTCTTATCTTGTAGGTAGTTCTTTGAACAACTTTAGGTGAATTATTTTTATTTGAGGGAGTTTAATTCTGATAGGATTAAAGAGTTCATGTGAATGCTACGTTATAAATCTGTAGAACACTGTCAGTTAACCATACATGGTTGCTGCTGTGGCTGGGTGTTTACTTCGCTGTGGGTATACAGGTAAATTCCAGAAATATACCAGGTGAGTACCAGGTAAGTAATGTATCTTATTATGTACGATGACAAATTTATTTTTGAGGGAATCTTGACATGTTTCTGTAATCATCTCTTCTAAAGTGATGTATTAACATTGTCCTCTCACCAATGTTTAAATGCTTTTTTAATGTGTTTTATATGTACCTTGGCGGGCTTCTTCAGCAAAATATTTCTTTAGCAGAAATATTTAAAGATATGATGTTTCTGATAGATTATTCGTTTTTAAACAATACAGTGAGCTCCCAGCTAATAAATATATTGGCATATTTATACACAAATGCTGTCAAAAATGTATTATTCTGTTTGGGAAGCTGATGGCAACATGTAGAGTGCAGCATACAGTTAGGTCCATACATATTTGGACAGAGACAACATTTTTCTAATTTTGGTTCTAGGCATTGCCGCAATTAATTTTAAACAAAACAATTTAGATGCAGTTGAAGTTCAGACTTTCAGCTTTAATTCAGTGGGTTGAACAAAATGATTGCATAAAAATGTGAGGAACTAAGGCATCTTTTAAATACCATCCCTTCATTTCAGAGGCTCTAAAGTAAGTGGCTAAGTTCAACAGGCAGAAGCTCACAGTATGGCAGGCAGATATTGCATTTATTTGGCTTCACCTCTCTTACATTCCACTCATCGGAAATTGTTTTGTGACTAAATTAGACATATTAGGTATTTAGGATAAATAGTCAAATGTATTTTTGTTGTTGTTTTATTTATTTTTAAAAAGGTTTTTGAAGATGTTTTTGATAATACAATTGACTGACAGTGACTCAGTCTGCATGTTTGCATCTGCTAAATAAAATGTCTTATACATCTGTAACCATGTTAATATTTTTGTAGTGCAAATACAGTACATGTTTTTCATTTATTTTTTCAAATTTTGAACATTATTGTTTCGGGCAGGTAACCTTTCATGTCATGCAGGTAACAATTTTCATCACCTGCCCAAAAGGGCAGGTAAAAGAAAAATCTTGTTGAACCCTGAATTGTATAGTTTTAAATTAGGCTTTTATTATGCACTGTGACTGTTGTGTGTTTTGACTGTGACTGTACAGCACTTTGGTCCTATGGTTTAAATGCTTTATGAATGAAGCTGGTTTGGTATGGTATGTAATAAAACCAGTTCATTTTTGAGTGAAATGTCTGCTAAACCTGAAGTATATTTAATTAATTTGACATTTTTTCTGCTCCTTACAGTTTCTTAAAGCTAATTTCAGATTTTATTGCTCTGTTCAGTCTCCATCTGCTCATTTTGGATACGTTTTTGCTCTACACTCTCAGAGCCAAAAACCCAACCAGATCAGGAGCCATAGTAAAAGGTCTTAAAATTCAGTCTTCCAAATAAAACATACTTATTTACCCAAATTAGGTATTAATGTTGACAGAACAAGTTTTCTATGTTTTATGTGAGAAATGTCTCCTTTATTTCTATGGATACATTTGAAAGCAGAAAGACAAATACTGTATGATCCCACACAACTGAGTGTGAAAGTCTTTGAATTTGTAGGTTTTCACTCACACAAATATCAGAACACAATCTGAAGTTACTTCATCGCACCTGAATGAAATATTACAACACTTAAAATAACACAACACTCTTACTGATTATACAACTCAGAGTTAAAACTGAGACAACTACACATCTGTCATCAGAGCATCATTACACCTATTTGTTTATTCGTATTTTTGATTTAATGTAATAAAAATATGTTGAAAGACTTTGATTTGTCTGGCTCAGTTTAAAGTTAACCCAGTTTAACGTGGTACAGCACAGAGGCTGTAGGGTTTAGGAAGGCGAGTTCCTCCCAGCTTGAACTCCAGACTGGGCTTCTCGCCTGCAGGAGAGGACACCTTAAATCTCTGAAGGATGGAGGTGAAAAACAGGAACAACTCCATTCTGGCCAGCTGTTCTCCAAGACACACGCGCTTACCTAAGGATATAAATACAAAACATAAGAAACTTTGTTCTGAGGCTGCAGTAATAATCAATTAAAGTAAGGACATGAACATTGTAAATAACAGACGTCAGCAGGTCTGTTTTAGCGAATCAAACTTTTTTTATTTGTTTTTTCTTGTTGAATCTGTGCACCAGCTGAAACTATATATTTTTGCAGACAAACATTTAATCTGCAGTGAGTTGTCACATTCATACCTTTCCCTACCTTTTTCTCTTGAAAAGGTAGGGAGAGATGTTCAAAAACTTGTAACAGCACTTTTTGATTTGACTTGACAAAAGTCTTTGGCCATTTTTAAATGTTTGTATACACAGCCAATCACATTTCAGGCTTTCTTTTTTTAAGACATTAAACTTTTAATAAAATGCCAATTGATTTCATCTTGTACAAAAACGACACTTTGGATTTAAAAATGAAAAATGCAAGATTATTGTAATATTATTATGCACATTTTCTAAAAACCAATGAAACTCAGTTTACCAGAAAATATGTAAAAAGGTCTACAAACACTCACTCTGAATGTAACATTGCTTTATAATAAGTATGATTATATAAGTGTAATAAGGGGGAACTATTTTAAAATTTTTAGTTTGCCTCAAGCAGAATGAAACAATAAAAGACAAACTAACCTGCAGAAAAAGGCATGAAGGCCTCTCTCTTCCTAAATTTACCATCCTTGTCCAGAAAGTGTTGAGGGTTGAAAGTGTGTGGGGTTTCCCACATCGTCTCATCGTGTAGAACAGAATGAAGTATCGGAAGTATCATCGTGCCCTAAGGAGAAAAAAATCAATATAAGTGGGGATTTGCACTAATTCTGAAGACTCAAGACTGCTTCAGATTGTGTCAGATTCAAGCTTTTTTTCACCTACCATCCAAAACTAAAGGAATTATGGATTTGGTCAACTGGTCTCTGAATGCAATTGACACTATTTTTTCCACACTTGGAACGAGAAGAATGTGGCTGTCTGGGTGGAATGGATGCTGCTGGACTTGTCTGATTCCTGGGGATGGAATCTTATGTGCCAGCACCACTTTCCATCGAAGACAATATATATTTATATATGGATTTATGATAACTGGATTCCTGCTGATCGGCGGAGGAGGGTTCCAGATTTATCAAAAGGTGAAAGCGACCCTGACAATGGTTCGGGCCTTTGAGGAGCTGTTGGGTGCACTTGAAGGATTCTGCCGGGCTGGTAGTACACAGACTCTCAGCTGGGGGAAATAATTTGCAAACTGGTTGTGATTCTGATGAGGATCGCAGCTCAGGAGCAAGCCTCCAGCATGTAAGGATTACATCTGGGTGACACTTCAGACGGTGAGAGGTGAGGAAAACCCCAAATTCAGCTGATTGTTTTTTCGCCACTTCAGAGATGCAGTTAAGACATTGTAAAAGCAGCAGGAAACTCAAGGCTGCTTTTTCCCAAAATAATTGGATTATCTATTTGGCTCCCAGTGCCATGGCCTTGATGGCAGTATTTATCTCAATCTCCCCAGGATGGAATGTCAACAAAGAGCTAGATTCGCTCCCACCCCCATCACCTGTGTTGGACCCGGCCCCGGAACTCAATGGCTGACAAGGAGGAAACTCTGAACTCTAGCAAATTGAGTAGAGATGATAACATCATGTGACTCTGGACTCTGGAGGGGGCCAGGGTTGGTTCCTAGTACAGACCCCCCTCCCTCAACGTCACCTGCTCCTCTGAACCCGTCCCATTTTACCTCCCCTTTATGTGTTGTTTGACCCCCAGCCCCCTCCCTTCCTTAGCTGCCTTGCACTGAAGCGAGTGTTTTTTTTGAGTGTATGATTCGGTTTCTGTGCAAACCCAGGATCAGAGCTTCTTTTTTAACTCACCTTTTGTATTGTGTGTATTCCAAGCTGCAAAAGGTAGCACACCGTTGTGCAAAAGACCTTGGACATTCATTCCCCCATATTTGTTATTTGTGTGTTTCTCCAGACGGATGTTCTAAACTGGAAATTTCGTTCTGCATTGCATCTTTGATGTTGTGTGTGAATGACAATGAATTATTCTGATATTTAGGGAAGTGGTTGATTGAAGATGGACAATGAAAATTGAGTCACCAAGAGCGAAATGGAGGCACACCTGGGTGTGAGCTGGGAATTTGATCAACAGAACTTTAAAGGAGGATCATTATTGTGATGTTGGCTTGAAATTTAGATCTTTACCAGTTAAGACTCCTCCTAGACTCCTCCATTGAATCATCACCTTATCCTGGTGTAGGAGTTTGTGCGCTTCAATGATTCTAGGAGCTAGGAGGTGACAGGCCAGACAAAGAATGATTCAACTGACTCAAATGGACACCAAATACCAAGGAACTCTGTCCCTTGCCCGGACGTGGGTTACCAGGGCCCCACTCTGGAGTCAGGCCTGAGGGAGGGGCTTGTCAGTGAGCACCTGGTGGCAGGGTCTCTACCTGAGACCTAGCCAGGCTCAGCCCGAATGAGCTACATGGGGTTGCCTTCCTATGGGCCCAAAACCTGCAGGAGGGGCCATACAAGTCAGCTGCATGATGTCATGGGCAATTGCCAAAGGTAGGGACCTTGGTGCTCAGACCCTGGCCTACCAAAGCTGGCACTTGGGACATGGAATGTCATCTCACTGGTGGGGCTGGAATCTGAGCTTGTGTGTAAGATTGAGAGTTACTAGCTAGATATACTGTAGTTTGGCTCACCTCAACGCACAGCATGGGTTCTGAACATTACTTTAGAGTTGCCCATGGTGAGAGGCACAGAGCTGGTGTGGGCCTACTTTTGGCCCCCCAACTTAGTGCCTATGTGTTGGAGTTTACCCCAGTAGATAAGAGGGTAACTTCTCTGTGCCTTCAGGTGGTGGGATGGGCTCTAACGGTCATTTGTGCTTACACACCAAACAGTTGCTCCAAGTGTCCAGCCTTCTTGGAGTCCTTAGCGGGGTTCTGGATGGTGCTCCAGCTGGGGATTCCTTTATTCTACTGGGGGACTTCAATGCCCACATGTGTAACAACAGTGTGCCCTGGAGAGGCACGATTGGGAGGAATGGTCTCTCCGATCTGAACCAAAGTGGTGTTCTGTTGTTTGACTTCTGTGCTAGTTATAGTTTGTCCATCACAAACACTATGTTTGAACATAAGTGTGTCCATAAGTGCATGTGGCACCAGGACACCCTAGGTCACAGATCTATGATTGTCTTTGTAGTCATGTCATCTGATCTGTGGTCATACATTTTGGACACTGAAGTGGCTGCCTTGACCTGTGGCTGTAATGTTATCTGTGCTCATTGCGGTGGCCATCCTTGAATTCGGTGGTGGACACCCCGGGGGAGGCTGTCAGTCTGGGGGAGTTCTATCTGGCCTTGTTGGCTGGTACGTCTCTGGAGGCAGCTGAAGAGAATTGGCAGGCCAAGTGAGCTGCCAAGTGAGCTGCAGCTCTGGCAGCCCTGCTGGTGGGAGGAGTTCGGTGAGGTCTTGGACAGAGACTCTTTATCAGCTCTGAGGAGATTCTGGCAAACCATCTGGCAGCTGAGGCAAGGTAAGTAGCACTTCACTCACACTGTGCTCAGTGAAGGTGGGGGGCTCTTGAACTCAACCAGTGATGTCATCAGGAGGTGGAAGGAATACTTTTCAAATTTTCTCAATCCTACCTGCACATCTTCTGTGGAGGAAGCAAAGCCTATAAGACTTTGGGTTGGTTTGTCGATAACTGGGCCTGAGGTAGCTGAGGTAGTTAAAAAGCTCCACGGTAGTGATGTTTGATAATGGCAATTTTCTTTCAGATACTGATACTAAGTAAAATTTGGCTGGTATCTGCGATACTGATCCGATACTGATACTTCGTGATAACACACATAATGTGTCTGGTAAATTTTAAAAAGTAGTGTTTTTTTTAAATAACTACTTTTTAAATAATACATAACATAGTAATTTATTTAATTTAAAAGT